AAACAGGAATAGAGTGATGTGTGAAGGCACAAGGAGAGTTAACTTAACTATGTCTTACTCTCAAAGCAGGAAATAGGTTGGATAGGATGAAAGTAGAGAGAGAGAGAAAACAAGAAGAAAGAGAAAGGGGAAAAAAAAGAGACCAGAAAAAATAGAAAAGTAAAAATTAAAAATATAATGCAGAATTAAAAACAAACTATTCAGAGAAGAACGTGGATATAATGAGAGAAGTTGAGTGATATAAAGGAGATTTGAAAAACTTAAAAATAAAAATACTTAAAATATTATATGGATACAAAGAGATAGTACTGCTATTAAGGAATTTAAGTCTCAGTGATTTTCAACTGAGTAATAAATTTGTGGATTAAGTGTGTACACAATGGGGGATAGGGTCTAATTATCAACTACGGGTTTATCTGAGGATGTGCAGAACAACAATTAAGTCACAAAAAGAAGAACAAAAGAGAAGAAAAGGTGAAAAGGATAAGAAAGAAAGATAAAAAGATCAGAATTTCAGTAGAGCTAAACAAAAATCAAAAAGAAAATTAAAAATTAAAAAAAAGTTTTATAAAATTTTTTTTTAATAAAAGGTACATATAAAAAAGAAAAAAGAAAAAAGAAAAAAAAGTTCTTTGGGTTTTTGGGAGGGTTGGGAAAAATCCTGTATCTCCCTTGTTTCTGTAACCAGCCTGTTGTTGGAGTCTCTGGTCTGCTTGTGGTGTTTGATTTTCCTGTGTCTTGGTTGGTTTCTTAAGTCAGTTTGTTTGAACAGGCAGAAAAATGCTCTGCTTTACCCAGGATTTTGTGATCCTCCTCCCAGGTTAGTTCAATGGGAGGGAGATCTGCTTTGAGTATCACAAAAGAGGGAGATGGCTTTTTCCTCAAGTTTGGAGATGCTGTGATGAGGCTAGGTTCTGGGTAGAGTTGAGGCCTTTCAGCAAACAGTAGCTTTTCCCGGGGGCTAGTTTGTGAGAAACTCACAGAGCCCAGCCTGGAGCCACTCTCAGGGTTTCTGTTTACTGAATTTCAGTTGATTGTCGAGGCTGCTAAAGGGAGGGGCAGCCTCTGGCTCTGATTACCCAGTGAAGAAAGCCACTTCTGGGGTGGGCGCCTGAGCTGTGTAACTATTCCCTGGATGGAGCTGAGTCTGGCAGGTTAGGTTAGGTTCTTGTGACCTGCTAAATGACAGTAGTTTTTTTCCAAGGCCTGAGTTGGAGCTAGCAGCTCTGCTGAGCTTTGTCAGTATCCAAAATGGAGATCTCCAGTACTGGTGGGGGGGAGGGGTGGCCTTCCTTCCTCTGCTCCCTGAGAAGGAGTGAGGATGTTAGGCTTCTACTCACGCCAATTCTTGGTTCCTGGGTCGTCTCTGGTCTGCGAACTGCAGGATGAAGATGTCTGCTCCTTGTCGTTTCTTTCTGGTGTTGAGTAGAATCTGCTCGCCTGCCGCTTCTGGCTCCTTCGTCCCAGACTTTCTCTTTTTCAGGTATGGCGGGTACAGCTGCCGCCGCTACTACTGCCACCACAGTTCGGCTGTTGGCAAGTGCTCAGATCTGTCTCCTTGCCTGGATTTTCCCTCTCTGGCCTAACTCTCTGTCCTGTGATGGCAAACTTGGTATGATTCTCTGGCTTAGGGCTGTTCACTGGAACTCTAAAACTGCTTTCTATGTGAGATCTTGTTTAGCCTCCAGCTTCTCCTCTGCCATCTTCCCGGAACTCCTCGACAAAATGCATTTTTGTTTCTTCAGAAGGAGTCACTCTCACACCAAATTCCCCTGTCGGATTTGTATACCACACTGTATAGATGAAATCAACCTCCTGAATTAAAAAAGAGTAGCTGTGATAGGTATATGTTAGAACCAGATGCTCCAGAGGTGGAGTTCAGAAAGATTGCTGTTTGAAGGCAGGCCAGCGAAAACTGTTGGTGAGACTCAATCTAAGTTAATAAGCTAGGCTTCTTGGTTCATGTCTGTAACCCCAGCACTCAAGAGACTGAAACAAGAAGATTCCATGTTCAAGACCAGCCTGGACTATGTAGTAATATTGTAAGGTAAATTAACAGGGAAGCCACAGTTTGGAAGATGGAATATTGGAGTCTTTGTTACACAGTTAGCAGTCTTCAAGCAGTCTGTTGTTCACAAAGGCCTGCAGCCCCCAAATGCACATAACATAGCTAGGAAACAGGCCAGAGAGGAAAGAAAGGACAGAAACAATACCAACAAACCAATTCAAGTCTGATAAAGAGCAGAATTGGGAGGCCATGATGATCAGAGACAAGCCAGGAGACAGGACACAGGCCAGGATCACAGGGGGCATGGTCACAAGATACTCCCAGCCCCAGGCACTGGACTGACAGGTTCAACATCCTATCAGCCAAGTGCTGATAGTCTTCAGGGTTCCAGGAATGCCCATCACCTGAGCGGGTTGGGGGCATCACCCTCCCCCACCATGAAAGCAAGATAACATATGCATTTCTCTGAAGGAGAGCCTCCCTAACTCACCTTGAGCTAGGCGCCTGCATTTCAGAGGATGGTTTGTGTCACCTCTAGGCCTTGAGCTGGGTGGACAGCCCCTTCATCTCCTGCCTAGGCACTAGGATATCTGCAAGAAATTATTTAGGCTCAGTCTCCTTACTTCAGTAAGACAAAGAAAAGAAACCGAAAAACAAATGAAACAAAAGAAATTGTTCTGTTGGATTGTGTTTATTAAGGCAAAGCCAGTTTGGGTAGCACTTCCTTATAGTAATCTTAGCTGGAGACATATACAGGAGGATTGGAGTCTGAGGCTGACCCTGAGTAACAACCCAGGAGCCTACCTAGAAAATGCGGTGTGAAAGGGTAGGGTAAGTGCCTCACATGGTAGAGTGCTTGTCTAGCAAATGCAGTGTTGTGAGTTCAAACACCAGCATTGCCATAAATAAACAGGTAGCTACATATAATATTTATTTTGATTGTAAACCTTAAAAGTTTATTGTAAATTTGTAGTTAGTCTGAATGAAATGTATGTGTAAAGGAAATTAAGAACATTAAGCCTCTGTGTGGAGCTTAGTGATAGATTGTTTGCCTAGTGTGCCCAAGACTCTTGTTTCTGCCTCCATACCACAAAGATAATAAACACAAATAAGCAATATATACTAGATATCAGCTTCATATTTTGTTGCTCTTTTGCTTTTTTGTACATTTTTTGTTGTAAAAATACTGTACAGAGGGGTTACAGTTACATGAGCAAGGTAATGAGTACATTTCCTATCAAGCATTGTTGCCTCCTCCTTTGTTTTTCCCCTAGCATCCCTTCCCTCCCACCTCCATAGCTATCCCCCACCTGCCGAAGTTGTAAAGTTTGTTTTCAACATAGTGTATTATACATCTCATTGTTACAATGGCTTAACCTGTATCCCTATTTAAGCATTTTGTTTTTTCCCTTCTCCTCCCTGAATCAGAGAAGTGAATATAGAAGATGCAGGGCACTGACATCAAATACAGTGAAAATAGGGGTTATACCATGGGGGAGGAACATACAAAGAAACAAAAAAAATCACATGGTGCATTATAAATACATTAGAAACAATAGCAAGAAAGAAAAAAAATATTTGTGTCCCTATCTTGGGGCACATTTTGCTAAACATCATCTTATATGGTCATATGTACATAGCTTTTGACCTTTTCTGCTTGTTTTACACATGTACTATTATTGAAAATAAGGGAAACCATGAGACCTATGTTTCTTTGGGTCTGGCTTACTTCACTTAATGTAATTTTTTTCCAAGTTTTTCCATTTCCTAACAAACGGGGTGATGTCATTCTTTCTGATGGAGGCATAGAATTCCATTGTGTGTGTGTGTGTGTGTGTGTGTATGTATGATGTGCATATATATATATATACTATTTTCTTGATCCATTCATCTACTGAGGGGCATCTGGGTTCATTCCATATCTTAGCTATGGTAAATAATGCTGTGATAAACATAGTTGTGCTGGTAGCTTTTGTATGGTCTTGTTTGTGATCATTTGTATAAATGCCCAAAAGTGGAATTGCTGGGTCATAGGGGAGCTCTATGTGGAATCTTTTGAGGAACCTCCATACTGCTTTCCAAAGTGGTTGAACAAGTTTACACTCCCACCAACAATGCAATAGGGTTCCCTTTTGGCCGCATCCCCTCCAGCATCTGTTGTTATTAGAGTTCTTGATTCTAGCCATTCTAACTGGGGTGAGGTGGAATCTCAATGTTGTTTTGAGGTCTTTTGCTTTTGTTTTGTTTTTTTTTTTTGGGTCTGGTCGTGGGATCTGAACTCTGGGCCTGGGCGCTGTCCCTCAGCTCTTCAGCTCAAGGTTAGTGCTCTACCACTTGAGCCACAGTGCCACTTCCGGCTTTTTTTCTTTTTGCTTATGTGGTGCTGAGGAATGGAACCCAGGACCTCAGGCCTGCAAGGCAAGCGCTCTACCACTGAGCCACCTTCCCAGCCCCAGGTCTTTTGCTTTTGTCTTCATGTATTACACATTCTTTTAAGGACAGCTGTGTTTTTTTAACCCATGAGATAGGAAAAATATGAGGGATTTTTCATAGTGATACAAAATCTTTTGCTTATGTGTTACTGTAGGGATTGGTTTCTTTTAGTGATTCTTTTTTAGTGACCCCTTTTGCCAGCAGGTGTAAACTACTGTAACCTTACAGATAAGCAGTGATGCTGAACTGCTGGGCCACAGGGACATTGTGTGCAGGGACACTAATGACAGCTTTTTGTTGAGCCTGTGTTTCCCAAGATAGGAAAACCCTGAACAAGGGGCACATGTGGACACAGAAGCCATGCAGACACTTGATGACATGCCTTAGGGAAGTTGCAGAGAAGGCACTGTGCAGTTAAAGTGGACTGACCATTTTCACCCGGAAGTGGGTGGCAGCCAGAAACACGCTTCGTGTGTCCATTCCAGTGTCCACTTGCACACTTCAGTGCACCAGTACAAGTAATCCTATTAAAATCACATTTTGATGTCTTTCATTGTAGGCTCAGAAATGGTTCATTTTGATGGAAAAAGTTCTTTGCTGTACACCTTTATTCAGAAATCCACAAATCCAACAAAGGAAGTCATTTCTCTGAATTTTAACTCCAGGAAGAGTGATGGGATTTTATTTCATAGGCAAGGACGAAATGGCAAGAATTTTACCTTGGAACTAGCTCAAGGAAAACTGGTCCTGTCCCTTAATTCAGGTAAAAATATCAAGGAAGCTTTTTTGAAAAGACAATTATTTAGATGAAAGTATTTTATACTTAAATTTTCAGTAAATAGTGACTTTTCCCTGAAACTAAATTCATGAATAATGAAAGGAGGCTTTACAAATACTTGCATGGAGTAATTTGTATAAATAGAATCTGCAGGTCAAGGAAACAAGGTTGCCCTACAGTTTAGGAATAGTAAAATCAACATATGGGTATCTGAACTGTAATCTCTATATACAGCTTTATAGTTCAATTGTCTAGCAACCTCATTAGCTGCTCAATGATCATAGCTGCTAATAATATCATAAAGACACAAATCGATCACTGTAAAAGTTTGAGATACTAATATTAATAAGGTCATAATAAGAAAATATTTTCAACTTAAACGAAAATACAATGGATATTGATACAGATCTAGTGGCACACACCTGTAATTCTAACACTCAAGAGGCTGAGAGAGGAGAATCAGATATTTTAGGCCAGCCTAGTATATGGTAAGACTCTGCCTCCAAAGAAACGGATCTAGTGGCACACCTGTAATTCTAGCACTCAAAAGGCTAAGAGTGGAGAATCAGCTATTTTAGGCCAGCCTAGTATGTGGTAAGATTCCACCTCCAAAACAAACAAACAAGCAAAGAGAAATTGTTCAAGGCTAAAAGTAGATTGTGTTCAAGATTAAGGTTAATCTAGGCATGTGGTACACACCTGCAATCTCAGCTATGTACGAGAAGGAGATAGGGGACCATAGTTTGAGAGCAGCTTTGAGAAAAATGAAACCCCACCTCAACAAAAAGCTGAGTGTGTTGATTTATGTCTGTCATCCCAGCCTCACAAGAGGCATATGTAGGAGGATCATGGTCTGAGGTCTACCGTGGATAAAAATGCAAGACCCTCTCCAGAAATTAACTAAAGCCAAAAGGACTTGGGGGATAGCTCAGGCTATCAGGAGGAGCGCTTGCAGCTCTGAGTTCAAACCCCAATTCTTCCAAGACAAAAAAGTAAAAGATGAAAATAAAACAATTAGCTAACTAGTTCTTCAGATAGGAGGTGGTAAGGAAGTTGTAATTGTGAAACATGTTAGACTTCTTTACTAGAAACCACAGTTCTGACCCAGCTGAACTCACAGTACGTTCACTTTTCCTCTTTTCAGGTGAGGCTAACATGTCCTCCCTTGATGTGCCAGCAGCCCTCAGCCTGGGCAGCCTGATGGATGACCAGCACTGGCATTCCATTCTCCTGGAGCTGCACAGCACACATGGAAGCCTCACTGTGGACAAGCACACTCAACTCTTCGAGGCACAGCCAGGATCCAGCTATCTGGATCCTGGTTATAAGGTGGCAAAATTCCTTTTCAAGTGTATCAGATTATATCACAGAAATCTAATATAGTCTTCTAGGGAAAATAGGATTTTATAGAGCAATGTCCACCCTTCCCTGGAAATTCAGACTCTGGTGGGCTACTTCTTGTGTGACCATCCCACCGTGGGAGATAATACATATGTGGGCAACTTCATGAAGCCACAGCATCACTAGGTGAGACACCTTACAGGGACCACCTTGTCTAAGCTGTCTGTCCTGTCTTAAGACCCTGTATGATCATGATGTGGTTCATGACTCTGCAGACACACTACTGAGTTGTTTTACCATGCACAGATGTTAGTCTTTATATTTAGGAAGATAGTTTAGCCAGTCAGTATGTATTAAGACTCTATCTCCTTGTCTCCAAAAGTGCTTACTTAAGAGGCTAATGTATGAAAAGCAATCAACACAACAAATAGCATTTTAAGATGTGTTATTTTGGACAATTCTAGGTTTTATTTCTCTGTCTCTGTCTCTCTGTCTCTGTCTCTCTTTCTCTCTCTGTATTGGTACTAGTGTTTGAACTCAGGACCTGCATACTTAGTTCCCTTAGCTTTTTTTGCTCAAGGCTGGTACTCTACCACCTGAGCTACAGCTCCATTTCCAGCTTTTTGGTGGTTAATTGGGAATATTAGTCTCACAGACTTTCCTGCCCAGGCTGGCTTTGAAGTACAATCCTCTGATCTCAGCTTCATGAGTCACCCATGTTTGGTTGGATAATTCATTTTTAGTTTGGAATGTGATAGTCAGCCATAGATATTCCTTCTTGCTTCAGATCATCCTAAGCAGAGTAAGTGACCTTATGAAGTAAGGTGGCTGAGCCTAAATAATTTCTTGCAGACATCCTGGTGCTTAGGCCTAGAAGTGAGACAAGTCATCCTTTGAAGTGCAGATGCCTGGCCAGTGGGGTGAGCTAGGAGGGTTCTGCTTCAGAGAAATGCAGATGTCATAGCCTTAGGAGGGCTTTGATTAGCTCCTTAAGTGGCTTGGATCACTAGCCTCTGAGTAACCTCTAAGCATACCCTATGTGGAAGGTTAAGGCCTATTTTCCCTCGATGGGAAAGTTCTGCTGGTCCTTGAGTATGTCCATTTAAGGCTTGGCATCTTGTCCTCATGGTAGGGGGGAGAGTAATAATTCCCCCTGCCACACACATGTGATCGGCATTCCGGGATCCCTGGAGACAGGGGTGGGCACTTGGCTGATCGGTTGCCTGAACCTGTCAATCAAGTGTCTGGGACTTGGAGTGTCCTGTGACCCTGCCCCCCCTGCCCAGACTCTATTTAGGCATGGAACAGCATAGGCTTGGGATGCAATGCCATGTGTGTCTCCTTGATCCTGTCCTGTGTCTTGTTTCCTGGCTTGTTTCCGGTCGTCACAGCGTCCCAATTAGGCTCTCCATTGGAGCTGAATTGGTTTGTTGGTATTTTGTTCTTTCTTTCATTTCTGGCCTGTTTCCTAGCTGTGCTATGTGTATTTGGGGGCTCTAGGCCTTTGTAACAACTGTCTCTCTGTGGCCTGCTATGTAATAAGGACTCCAATAGTCCATCTACTTAAATGTGGCTTCTGGGATAATTCACCTTACAACACTTGGAGAGCTCAGACTTAATCAACATGCATTTTACATGATTTGTTAAGTATGAAGAGAGATAATATCCATAAACCTATACATTTTATTTTAGTGATTCTGAAGCCCCAATCTCCACCCTATCCTGAATTGTGGTACTTGTTCTGATGGCTCTGCTTAGTTTTGCATCAGGCATATCAAGCAAACCAGGGAACTGCATGCAGTGCTCACTGGCATCGGTATAGGAGACCAAGCAAGAGCAGAGCTTGCTCTTGAACAACAGCATCAGTGGATTGATTATGATGAGCTCACAGCATTATGGTAGAAGCCAAAACCCCCAACCTGGCTGCTAGAAAGTTTGTTAAGCCAAAAGCCATAGATTTACCATAAAAATAAAGATGAAACACCATCCAAAAATAACAAGTCATATGACTGTTGTACATATGGTGAAAAGAATACGTTGCATCTTAAAACTTGATTTGCAATGAACATAGCAGTGTAAAACAATACAAAACAAAAATTAAGGCCAATTATCACTATACTTTTTTTTTTTTTTTTTTTTAAGAGAAAGAAAAAGTTTTTTATTGTGAAGGTGATATACAGAGGGGTTACAGTTACATAAGTCAGGTAATGAGTACATTTCTTTTTTTTTTTTTTTTTTTAATTTAATTTAATTTTATTTGTGAACATACTGTACAGAGGAGTTACAGTTACATGGGCAGGATAATGTGTACATTTCTTACCAAGCATTGCAGCCTCCTCCTTTGTTTATCCTTCACATCCCTTCCCAGCCTCCCCCCTCCCCCCCCTAATCCCAATCCTTCTCCTTCCTTCCTCCCCCCAGCCCCCCCCCCCCCCCCCCCCACCAACATTGTAAAGTTCGTTTTGGACATGACAACTTGTACTTCTCATTGTTGCAACAGGTCCACCTGTATCCTTAAACAACTGGTTTTTCCCCATCTCCTCCACAAGTTATACTGACATCAAATATAGTGAAAGCAAGGGTTATACTGTGGGGGAGGGACATACAAAGCAACAAAGAGATAATCTTATAAATGTGTTAGAAACACATGCATGAAAGAAAAAAACATTAAAATACACATCTAAGGGTTCATTTTCCTGACATCACATTATCTGACCTTTTCCGCTTGACTCATACATATACTAGATATTACAAATAAGGGAAACCATGGGACCTACGTTTCTTTGGGCCTGGCTTACTTCACTTAATATAATTTTTTCCAAGTTTTTCCATTTCCTAACAAATGGGGCAATGTCATTCTTTCTGATGGAGGCATAGAATTCCATTGTGTATATATACCACATTTTCTTGATCCATTCATCTACTGAGGGGCATCTGGGTTGGTTCCATATCTTAGCTATGGTAAATAATGCTGCAATAAACATAGTTGTGCTGGTAGCTTTAGTGTGGTCTTGTTTGTAAACATTAGGGTAAATGCCCAAAAGTGGGATTGCTGGGTCATAGGGGAGCTCTATGTGGAGTCTTTTGAGGAACCTCCATACTGCTTTCCAAAGTGGTTGAACAAGTTTACATTCCCACCAACAATGAAGTAAGGTTCCTTTCTGTCCACATCCCCTCCAGCATCTGTTGTTGTTAGAGTTCTTGATTTTTGCCGTTCTCACTGGAGTGAGGTGATATCTCAATGTTGTTTTGATTTGCATTTCTTTTATGGCTAGGGATGTTGAACATTTCTTCATGTGTCTATTGGCCATCCTTCTTTCTTCTTCAGAGAAGTTTCTCTTTAAGTCTTTCGCCCACTTGTTTATTGGGCAGTTGTTTCTTTGAGGATTTGTTGTTGGGGGGTTTAATTTTTTGAGTTCCAAGTATATTTTAGATATGAGACCCTTGTCCGTTGTATGGCCAGTAAAGATCTTCTCCCAATCCGTGGGCTTTCTATTGATCTTGCTAGCTATGTCATTTGCCCTGCAGAAGCTCTGCAACTTTATGCAATCCCATTTGTCCAACCTTTCTTTGATTTGTTGTGTTTCCAGGTCTCTATTCAGAAAATTTCGGCCTGAGCCAAGGAGACCTAGGGTTTCTCCTATTCCATCCTGTAATGTTTTCAGAGTGTCTGCTTTGAGTTCAAGGTCTTTGATCCATTTGGAGTTGATTCTGGTGCAGGGTGATATATAAGGATCTAGCTTAAGTTTTCTACATGTAGTTAACCAATTTTGCCAGCACCATTTACTGAAGAGGTTGTCTTTCTTCCATTCTATTGTTTTAGCTCCCTTATCGAAGATTAGATGGCTATAGGTCTGTGGGTTCATTTCTGGGTTTTCAATTCTATTCCATTGGTCCTGAGGTCTGTTCTTATGCCAATACCAAGCTGTTTTGATTACTATGGCTTTATAGTAGAGTTTGAAGTTTGGTATTGATATTCCTCCAGCAGTGTTCTTTCCATTCAGGAGCGTTTTTGCTATTCGGGGTCTTTTATTGTTCCATATGAATTTTTGGATTGCCTCTTCTATTTCCTTGAAGAATGAGGGTGGAATTTTGATAGGTATTGCGTTGAATTTGTAGATAGCCTTGGGAAGTATTGCCATTTTCACGATGTTAATCTTTCCAATCCAGGAGCATGGGAGGTTTTGCCATTTTTTAAGTTCTGTGTTGATTTCCTTTTTCAAGATTTTAAAGTTTTCATCATAGAGGTCCTTCACTTCTTTAGTTAAGTTAATTCCTAGGTATTTTATTTTTTGTGGGGCTATTACAAATGGAGTTGCTTTCCTAATTTCAGCCACACTTTTCTCATTGTTGGCATACAGAAAAGCCATTGATTTTTGGGGGTTAATTTTATAACCTGCTACTTTGCCGAAGTTTTGAATCAGCTTGAGTAATTTGGGAGTGGAGTCTATGGGATTCTTTAAATACAAGATCATGTCATCTGCAAAGAGGGAGAGTTTTATTTCTTCTTTCCCTATTTGGATCCCCTTTATGTCTGCATCTTGTCTTATTGCTGTAGCTAGGCATTCTAATACTAGATTGAAGAGAAGTGGAGAGAGTGGGCATCCTTGTCTTGTTCCTGAGTTAAGAGGAAATGGCTTTAGTTTTTCACCATTGAGTATAATGCTGGCTGTAGGTTTGTCATATACAGCCTTTATCGTATTGAGGAATGTTCCATGGATTCCTAATTTTTCCAAAACCTTCATCATAAAGGGGTGTTGGATCTTGTCGAATGCTTTTTCTGCATCTATTGAGATAACCATGTGGTTCTTATTCTTGCTCCTGTTGATGTGATGAATAATATTAATTGATTTGCGTATATTGAACCAGCTTTGCATCCCTGAAATGAATCCTGTTTGATCGTGGTGTATGATTTTTTGGATGAATTGTTGAAGTCGATTGGCCAAAATTTTGTTGAGAAGTTTTGCATCAATGTTCATCAAAGAAAT